GGTGTCATAGAACCATCAAGTAGTCCTTGGGCCTCCCCTGTCGTCCTTGTGAAGAAAAAGGACGGTACCTGGCGCTTCTGCGTTGGCTATCACCACCTCAACAAGATCATGGGAAAAGACATATACTCGCTACCACACATCGATGACGCTTTGGACTGCCTGCACGGCGCTATGTACTTCTAGTCTATTGATCTTCGGTCTGGCTACTGGCAGATTTCTGTCGATAAGATGGACCGCGATAAGACGGCCTTAATTACACCGGATGGTTTATACCAGTTTAAGGTGGTGCCTTTTGGACTATGTAACACCCCTGCCACATTCGAACGAATAATGGACTCTCTCTTGCGTGGTTATAAGTGGTCTTCTTGTCTCTGTTACCTAGACGATGTGATAGTCTTTTCATCTACTTTCGATATCCACCTGACCCTCTGAACCAGTACCCTCTGAACCATTTAATCGCGTGTGACTCGATCTTCTTGGCCCTTTTCCGACGACGACACTGGGAAATATATGGATCGCCATCGCCACAGATTATGCGACCCGTTACGCGATAACAAAGGCCATGCCAAGCAGCTCCGCCACTGACGTAGCAAATTTTCTTCTTCATGACGTCATCTTACACCACGATGCATCCCAACAGCTGCTTACAGACCGTGGCCGCTCTTTCTTGTCCAAAGTTGTCGACGACCTCCTTCGATCGTGTGCCACAGCGCATAAGCTATCTACCACTTACCACCCACAAACTAATGGCCTAACTGAACGTCTCAACCGCACGCTCACAGAGGTGCTTTCGATGTACATCTATGAAGATCATCGTGACTGGGATACCACGTTGGCCTATGTGACTTTCGCATATAATTTATCTCGACATGACACCACGGGATTCTGACCTTTTTACCTTTTGTATGGTCGCGACCCCATATTTTCATTTGAAACCACCTCACCTCTCAAGCCATCTGCTTGCGAGTACGCTCGCGAAGCCATTGATCGGGCTCACATGGCTCGTCAAGTTGCCCAGTCTTGTCTCACCAGGTCACAGGATATGCAAAAAGCCCGCTACGACCACCGGCATCGTAATATAACGTTTGCCCCAAGTAACCACGTGCTCCTCTGGTCACTGTGTCGCCGTGTAGGTCTCTCCGAAAAGCTTTTGTATCGATACGCAGTACCCTACTTAGTCTTGCGTCAAGTTAGCGACGTCAACTACGAGATAGTGCCATTGCACTCCAATACGTCACCAAGTTCGTCACTTGTTGACATTGTTCATGTTTCGCGCATGAAACCTTACTTCTGTCGCACTTCTTCGGACTTGCGCCGTGACGGCGCTCCAACGCCTAGGGGTCCTGTTACGAAGTAAAGGAAGAGGAAGGACAGAATCAGCTGACAGGCGTGCGAGTGTGCCAATCAGCCATTGTGATTCTTACCTCAGGTTGTTCCTCTGTAATTGCGTTTATACAGAAGTCACTGACCCCGTAACACGATTATCGATGGGGACATTACACAAAACATGACTGCGACGGCCAGTGGCGTAGCCAGGTGGGGGGAGGCACATTGCCTCCTCCGAAATGTTTTTTGCCTTGGCGTATATATAGCTCAGTATTACTGCCTGCCCACCCCCGCCCCTTCAGACTAAGGTTCACTCCCTCACCCCCCAAAAATAAAAAGAAATTCTACCTATGCCCCTGGCAATGGAAAAGACCGGTCAAGAATGTCCATGTAATTGCTATCGCGATAAAGACAAAATGGCTCTCCCCTTCGAGTCGTCTTAGGCATATGCATAAGGTACCCTTTTAGTCTTTTTTTTTCTTTATGCACATCTTTCTAGAGGACACTACAGGGGATTTTGGAGTATAGACAAAACACCCTAGCCACATAAAACATTGCTGCAAAAGGAAAATCAAGTTTGTTAAATTGTGCAGTTTCAGCACAGATAAATGAGTGCTGGAGGAGGTTGTCTTTATGAGACTAGCTTAATGGCGTGATGTTACGCCCAGCAGTATTGTCAGTATTGAAGAAAAAGAACCTTTCTTTATACTTGGAGTCGTTTTAGGGAAATGCAGTTGGCACTGGGTGAGTCTCTAGCGTTGTACGTCACAGCATTTGTGTACGATAGCTACTGATAATCACGTAGATGTATTTAGATGTATTTTGCAAAGTACAATTTTATTCAACCAGTATTCTGTTTATTTTGTTTGAAAATAATCACCGAACAAGTTTTTCTAGAATGCTCATTATAGTGATGCTATTATTTTTGCATCGTCAACTAAAAAATGGAGCGCTCCTAAGATGGTTCGCTCCATGACATTTACAATGAACCGAAATATTTTTAGCTCTTCTCAGGAGACAAGAGCCCTCAAAATTATTATTCATGCCCTTGACAGTGGTGGGAAAGCTGCGCCAATTGAGCCAACCTGCGCCAACTGGAAGTTACTGCATCATATTTCTCCAAAAGGGTCTTTTTTGTCTGATTTACGCCATTACTGTGCCACAAGGTGGTTTTTAAACCAAAAGTAATGCTGACAGCACACATATGAGCGGATATTACGTTATAATCGCCACCTTTTACATTTGCACTGCTGCATTTGCGTACAGTTAGAGTCTAGTTAGAGTGTTGTGCAGCTGCAAGAGCATGGAATCAGCCAATCAATTATTCCCGCTTCAACGCGATTGTGGTGGTTCCTTTTCGGGTAACCACTGGCAAAGAATGAAGGCGATATGGCGACCACCGGAAAGTGCATTAGTCATCACTGATAAAAACCCTACAAGAGTGGCGTAGCACCTACTGCACACTTTTAATAGCCAGCAACTACTTGAGTGCGGAGAGGCGCCGATCGTTGCCACCTCGATCATTCTACGGACCGTGTTCAGCGTACACCACTTTGCAGCAACGAAAGTAGCTCGCTGTAGCAGAGTTGAGTGTTGTGGATAATGGGCACTGAGACAGCAAGCGTAGCAATTTTATAACCATATTGCACGCTTTCATAACGCAACAACCCAAACGAGCTTCAGTCTGGTGCCAGGACTACTAGAGCATCGCTTGCAGGAAGCTCGCATAATCGCGTTAACGTAATAGCTTTCTCACCGCATCTGTGCATAGTCAGAAGCACAGCATGTTCTTAAGCAAGTGGCTTCGCACGGTGTGTACGACAAGTAAGCGAAGCGCTGCGCGCAACTAGTCAGTAGACGACCGACTCCCTGCGACTGTACTGCGTCTCGAAAAAGCTGTGTGTGTTGTCGTTAAGTAGCAAATCATGGTACACATTTATCGCGGACAGCCGTTTTTGTCCGTTTTGTCGCTATGCTAGTCGCTACGTCGGCTGTGTACCCCGGACTCCATTAGTTTCGAAATGCTTCTTGATATCGTCACCGCGAGCCATTGAACGGCCGTGTGAGGGTGCTAATCATTTCTCAAATTTGGCAAAAAGGAAGAAATGGCTTTGTGGTAGGCACTTTAGGCAATATTTACTGTGGCATTGTATTTAATCCTGATTTAGCGGCAAACCGGTACTTGGTGATGAATGCATACTATATTTACGCGCAGTTAGCCGCATTCTCTGTGCCTATGTACGTATTAACGAGAATATAGTATAAGCACACATGTTCACAAATAAAGCTCTGTTGTGATTTCGATTTATTCAGAACATGAATAGTGCAACAAGGGCTAAATACTCAAAAACTCGCCAGGCCGAGGAAGTGCTAAATTTCACCGAGTCCATACTTCTTATAATTGCTTATTTCAATGCGAATGTTTAAGAACTTTACACTGTTGAGCCACCAATTTACAGTAAACAGAGCAAGACTGCTACGATTGAAAAAGAAAGATAAAATATTGGAAAATAGCCTTAGAAATCGGATAGCTATGAACGACTTTTTAAATCATAGAAAAACTCTGTGTAATGCCTGTAAATGAAAGCAGCAGACTATAAAAAAAAGAAAACAGAGGAAACGGATGTAAATAAAAAAAAAAAGACCAGCTTTTGCTGACATTGAGTCTATGAAAATAGCAAGAAAAGCTGCTTTTCACAACTTCAAACAAGAAAAGAATACCACCTAATAAAGTGGCAAGAACCTAACAAATTACCAAGCTGCAAAAGAAACAGCTTGGCCAGCAACTTTCCTTCTCGCGTTACGAAGGCACATTTCCTTCCATTCACTACAAAGTCGTCAGTCCGAATAACGTTGGTGGCCTCGAAATCTTTCTCGCACACAATAACATTTTTAGGATTCAAGGTAAATCCACCAGCTGCCTGTTGCTGTATTGCATGTTTTCATTCGTCCGTTTCATCACCATCCCTCATCAGACTAAACAACACCTTTGCGCTTGCACCTCTGCGACAATCCAGCACACAGCAAGTCTTTGGCATCATCGCTCCGGTACAACACACAGTTTCGAGAGCCGTCAGATTTACAAATTTAGAAAAATGCAGAAAGCTGAAGACCGATGCTGCCAGAATTCTAGAGTCCACAGCTCTCCTCAATGCCCCCCGCGTGCTACCGCCGCCGCCGCGCAGCCACTGCAGTAACATAGCAAGCTCGCCCCATAGCGTTGCGGAAGAGCTTTATGACCACACAAGCATTGAAGGACTTTCGTTTGATGAAAGGCAGGGAAGTCCCAGCCAGAAAGTAATGAAGGTGCTGCTGAAGTTTCTGCGGTCAACTCAACTCTCAAAACAATTGACACTCCCATGCTTGAGTGTGTGCGCGCTTCCTTTCTTTTTTTTTTCTTTAACCATTCCTCGCTGTATATGATTAGGGGAGTCTTACTTTTCCTTTGTACTGGTGATTTATGTGTTGCAGTTTTAATATAATTCAGAACTTTCAAGTCCAGTGGAGTGCGTCTTTTGCTTGTTTTATTTGCGACATGCAGGTTTAAAATGTCGAAAATGTAGCTTTCTATGTTCTTCATGGTATAGGGTACAACCACTTTTACTCTTTATTTTTAGTGTTACTGTGTACTATTGTGTAAAATTTTAGAAATTTACTATTTATTCTCATTGCAGCTAAGGTGAAGAATTTGTACAAGATAGTACTGCCACACCTGCTTACAAAATATGGGAAAGGAAAGACTTTGGAGGAAGTTATAGCACTTTCCAAGGCTCAAGAGCGTAAGTTTTTACAATTCGTTCACCAGTTGTGTACACATCAGAGTTAGCAAGATTTTGCTTACATATGTCTTCTTTTTTCAGGCACCGAGAAAAGCCCACGGCAACTCATTGCCCCTCATCTTCCACTTTGATTGCCTCACTTGTATTTCTGAAGCTGCTTCATGTTTTTTCTTTCCTTCTCATTGACTGTCATTGCATGTGGAAATGACAGGAAAGTGTTAAGTTTATTATACATGATGCATTTTGATCAGGACCATGTCTAATAAATTTCATTTTGGACCTTGTTAAACTGCTACCTGTTTCGTTTTATTGAAAATATTGAAATAGCATTTTTTAAACAATTAAAAAGTATGCTTTTCCCTTTCACTTCAATTAGCTTTTTATGTCATACAAGTTTGAATCGCAATGTTCTCGGGTTAGTAGGACAATAGGTATTACAGTTCTGTTTTTAAAATATTGTGAAATGAAATCACCCATCATTATCATTATCACAAGCATATATGTTCCATTTTCTCAACAGTCAGGCATTCCTTCTTATGGGCAATATTTGCCATGTTCACTTTGCCATTGTTGTTCACAAACACTGGCATCTGTTACTGTGCGAGTGATCTGTATTTGTGTTTGACCAGCACTATGTCGACTGTGCAAGTCGGGAATATGATGATCATTCACAATTTTGACCGTACCAAACCACATGTTTGTCACTTGCAATAGTGACGCTACGATGCTATATTATAATTTTCACTCAGATTTTTAGGTGATGCTAGAAAGCGATCTTAAGTAATATTTTCAATAATTACATATCACATAGGAATACTTGGAGCTCTCCCCCCTCCACTTTTACATTGTTGACACTTCTGTTCTTCTGCAGCTATTCAGTTAATTTGGAGGCTAGTTATGTTTGCTTAGCAAGAGGGTATCTGTCCTTACTGAAATACAAAAAGACATGTACCATCAAGTAAACAAAATTAAAGATTGAACAGAAAGGGATTTTTTTCTGTTCTGTCCTTAATTTTTCTTCTTTGATGATACGCAAATTTTTGTATTTCAGTAAGCATGTACCAACTAGCCCAACAAAAAGTTTTATTAAAAGTATCTGTGACAGATCTTTCCACCAGTATGTCTATGAATGATCGTGTAACCACACGTAGACTGGGTATTTTAAGAGCCAAAACATGTCTTCAGTTTGTCAACAACATACTCATAGTCTGCTTGATGCCCCAGTGATTTTTTTTTATTCTTTTGAGGATTTCGTGCCTTCTATTGAAGGGACTGCCTCTCCAGATGTTTATTTTTTAAAACCTATTCATGCATTTTTGACTCACTCCACTCTTACACATGCACTGCTCACTCTTTTGAGCCTTGCAAGAATCCTATGCTTTGTACCAACACTATCATTTATGTGTTGCCTTGCGAATACCGCATTGTTTCCAGCAGAGTAAGAACCAGATTGAGTTTTAAGCATCTCCTCAGTGATTATTTCTTACTCAAGCACCACTTTGGACATGTTTCTTGTCCAAATTTCGGCAGCCCTCTACTACGGCGTCTCTCATAATCATATGTTGGCTTTGGTACGTGGAATCTCTCATATTAATCAAATCATCGTACATGTTTCTTGCTGGTTTATACCGGTTAGTTCTCTTGCATTCAGACATTTTAGATGCACTTCACTGTCGTCACATGTGTAATTTAGTGAGTTGCTACTCATACTCTGAAGTGAGTGGGTGAGTTCATAGCAGCGCCAGTGGAATTCTGAACAGTTTTCTGCTTTTTACGTGGTTTTTGGCCTGCCTTGCCGATCCTGTCACCGAATCATCCGAATTTATTCACCCAGAAAGCGTGGTATCAACTGTCTTTCATTGACCGAGTTTTGGCACGTGCACAACTCTGGTCTTGGTGGAGTGGACGGCCCTATCTACTGTGCTGGAGATAGTCCAGGCCTGTTGAATGCGCCTCGTCAGTAGGTGTTCTACATGCCATCATTTATGATAACAGCATTCTGGTTTCTTCAATTATTTGCCAACCTGGATCTATGACATCATCGGCAAGGCATATAAGGACAGGGTTGACGTCTGCCTTCGTCAGTGGGTGAATTCACAGGAATTCTAGCGGAATGCTGAGCTGTTTTCTGCTTTTTATTTAGTGTTAAGCCTGCCTCACTGATCTTGTCGCTGGCTCATTCGAATTTTTTCGCTGGGAAAGCAATGGCATCAATTACCCTTCTTCGACTGAGTTTTGGAATGTGGACAACTCCGATCTTGGCGGCGTGCACGGCCCTATCTACTTCGTTTAAGGTAGTTCAGGCCTGTTCATCGCCTCATCAGCCGGTGTTCTACATGCCATCATCCTTGATGACAGCATCTTGATTCTTTCAATCGTCAACCAACCTGGATCCGTGACATCATTAGCATGGCGTATAAGGACAACGTGGACGCCTATCTTCTTTAGTGGGTGAGTTCACAGTAGCGCTAGAGGAATGCTGAACTGTTTTCTGCTTTTTACGCAAATATGTTACCTTCCGAACGCCAAGTAAATTCCGGCATATAAATCACTTCCAGCTGCTGTTGCTCGCCCATACAGTTTCACATGTACCTATGATATTTTGTCTTTATGTTTGACCTCCTGCGTTAGCAGGCTTTTCATGTACCGTGATGTAGAATTGGACCCAGGGCCTCTCAAGTTAAACAAGGCTACCCTCATTTACATGGTTCATCCTTGCCGATGAGACGCGTGATTTCAAGGCTGTGGATGTTGACTTGTCATTAGTGACTGAAATGCTCACAGAGTTAAGGGTCGGCAACGTACATTACTAGATATATGGTAGCTGATATTAAGAAATTTTATGAAATTGTCAATGATAGGTTCAATGTATTGGAGACTCGTGTCTCCGCATTAGAATCGCTTCCCGTCAGGCCTTCTTCTGCAGCTTCTGGTAATAAGGTGAACAGCCATATTCAGCAGCTACAAATCATGATCAACCAACTCGGTATGTGTAACAATGATCTAGGAAACTTATCTCACCACAATAACTTGCTGCTGCATGGTCTTGCTGAGACACCGGATGAATCTTCCGCCCTTCTTCTGTTTAATCTTCCGGAGTAGTTCAAAGAAAATCTGCAAATCGATTGCCCAAAAAATGGCTACAAGCTTAAAGGTTCATTGCGCATACCAACTATCAGATAGAAGATAAAGGAAGCATCAAAGCTTTTTCGGGATAATGGCTTTATTATACGCTTCAGTTTTGATCATGTGTTCATAACTCAAGTTATTACTGCAATGATGACACTAATACCCTTATTAGGATTCATTCTCGTCCAGGAAAAGCTCCTTCTAACATCACCACTAATGCTCCTTGATGCCTCGGGAATGATCTTAATGAGCCCCTGCGCATCTTAAATGTTAGTGGCAAAAGCCTAGTGAAAAAGTTTCCAAATGTTATTTTGCTTATCACATCACATTCACTAGACATAGCTGGCATTACAGAAATTTGGTTGAATAAACATATATAGGACAGCAAAATAACACGTCGAGGTTTTACATTCATGAACTGACAGACTCATGGCAGGGGAGCTGACAGACGTCATGGCAGAACTGACAGACTGACAGACGTCATGGCAGGGGAGGGTGTGTTGCACTATTTTTACCATCGGATCTTAAATATTCAGTTATCCTCAGTCCTCCTGATCCCGAATCTGTTTGGTGCAGACTTTGTTGGAAGCATTTTTGTAGTCCTTAGCTTAGTCTGCAGCTCGTCATCATCGAACTTAGATTAGCTGCTCTTTTTGACAACTTTCATACATGAGCACTTCTTATCTACTACCAGCTTGGTCTACCTGGAGGATTTCAACACTCCAGGTATTTTGCGGCCATCTCTCTGGCTCACAGGCTGTGACGTAGAAATCTGCAAAGTTTTGTCAAATTTCTCGCTTAATTTTGGCCTAAACAGATTGTTGAAATTAACACACGAGGAGATGCAGTTTTAGATTTAATTTTTGTTCGTCCTTTTCATTGAGAGAGTAGTTATGAATGAAAGGTTTCCTGTGCGTAGCAAACCGTTTTATCTATTCTGCATTCCCCTGATTTTCATGAGCCGATAACATCTGTTCTTGATCTTTCATCAGATTCTTTTGATGATGATGTGAATTCCTTGGAGGCTTCTTTTGAAAAGACTGGCAACTTGAATTGAACATTTCGGGCCAATAAAAACTAAAAGGAAAAACCCCCTGCTTTCCTGGATATCGCGTGACATGCTTCACCTGTAACGTCTTTGGGAATCGAGGCTAGCCTGCCGTCTTTACTCGGGCTTTGCCACCTCATTCTGCATTCTCATGTCCCGACATGTCTCCCCTCCTCCGCGGTCTGTCGCGCTGGTAGAGCAAGAAGTGATGTTTAGCCCCTCTCACCCGGTAGCGGATGTTGACTGTGGCGCCACGCGCGAAGTCTCTCGGGACCTATCGCACGCGCGCATTGGGAGTGAGTGAGATTTTTCCGGGACGACTGAGGGTGAGCACGCATCTCTTCTCCGTCCATCAACTCCTATTGTTTGGGGCTCGTCGGACTTCACCAACAGCGCTTCGCGCCTGCGGTGAACGCTCACCTTTTGTTGCCCCTTTGCAAACGCTTGGCCGAAGAGCGATGTGGTGTCCTAGTGCTTGGCCAGGCTACGCCGACCCGTATCTTTTCGAAGCCAACGCGAGCGTCTTTGCCCTCGCTTGAGCAATCGGGCCTTTGTTTCGGTGTCTCAGTCGATCTCTTTTACTACGGAGACGTGCTCACGGCAGCCCTGTGTAGTATTTCTCACCCGTGGCGTAGATAAGCACATTTGCTTTCCCATCGCGCCTTTGCAACGGGCTCTGTACTGCGTTTCGGTGTTGCCACAGACAATAAAGTGTTGCGACGTTGAGCAATACTGTGTTCTTGCCAAGGCTACGGTTAGCGCATGCCCTGCCGCTCGCTAAGACCGGACCCACGCTAGTGGCCGTATTCCTTCGGGATACGTGTACACTACACATCGTATTGCTAGACTGAGACGTTAAAAAAAAACGGTGACCCCTTAAAATGCAGGAATTACACCATGCACACAGAAGAATCAAAATAATTCCTCAAAAGATTTCAAAGTTACATTGTAAGATTTAATGAAAAGCAGCCCTAAAAAATATTGGGCTTCAATTTTACTCCCCTCAGCTGCCACAAATACAATTATTATAAATGGCGTCCCTGTAGTGGTTCTTCAACAATGTCTAACATGTTGAACGAATGCTTTCAATCGCTATGCTCAATTCTGACAGC